CTGGGACAATATATGTTGATTCATATTATGGTATTTTTATAGAACACAGCATTAGAATTCAGGAAGCTGCCAGTTGAAGTATGGTCCTGATGAACATTTTGTAAAATATTAGTAGGGTGCTGTTACTTAAATGCATGTTAAAAAGCACAAAACAGAGTCAGATGACATTTCAGGCATTTCAGTCCCAGGTCACGTCTTGAGAAAATTGCTGAAATAATGGAGGGGGCATTTTTCAAGCAGAGCTACAGCTCCAACAGCTATGTTTACTTTAACGCTTCACTAGTGACTTCTGATTGGTTGTCATGACCTCATCTCACTGTTGCACCTAGGATGTTGCAACAGTGACATGTACATACCTTCTTGTGAACAAGGTGTATTATACATACATACATCTTTCAGAAAAGATGAATGGACAGTGGTTTATCCATTTTAACCATGAGTAGAGGTAGTTTATAGATAAAACACTTTGAGTTTCATTTCCCTGAAGGATAAGCACCTATTTTCTTTCAAATTAAGCAGAAAGGATGCTGAACTTGAAAAAATATGATTGATAAATCTGTATAAAATGATCTCTTAGAGACCTTTGTTTGATGGCCAAAATGGATAGTTTTGTAGGTCAAAGAATTCTACTGTGTCCCCTGACCTCTATGATCACATGTAGCTTGCTGTATTGGCAGGTTAATATGCAGAGTTCAGTACTTTCATCAGATTTTTATTTAGCCAATCACAAGAGATTTTAAAAGATGTAGATTTGTTCTTATTTTCCATTCTTCTTATAATTGGGAAATTAATTTGGATAATCTTTAGTTTTCCCAAGGTATCATTTATGGTCAAAAGTACATTCTGGTTTTGGTCAAGTATTTTAACATTTTATATTTTTTACAAAGTATTCTTGTTAAGTACATTTCTATACTGATTTGATGTGTTTAGCAGTATTTCTTCTTTTGGTTCTTTGTGTTTAGCCTTACCTGTCTGCAAGACTTCTCTAATCTGACCCAACATTTGATTGAACTGTAAATGAAGTATAATTTATTAGTAAGTACATTTATAGTATATTAAAGAAGGCCTAGAGGCCTGTGTATTTTATTTAAATCACAAGTACCGAATAAAATGCCACATCTAGCAATGAACTTTTGAGGGTTTCTGATTAAGATATCATAGTTAAGACCCTATAAACACAGGTTTGAAAATGAAACTAGTTATAGCTACAAAGTATAGAAAATGGAATGAGATGAATAAACCTTACTTTTACTAATGTCTTTCTTCTTGATCAACTTCCTGATCTACTGCTAAACTGTATGATGAAACTTAAATTAACAACTTGATGTATGCTTTGTCACTTGAAATGTTAGATATTAGAATTTGAGTAGATGATTATAAAAGGTGCCAGAGTTTTATTTATTTAACTGTAAGATGTTAGATAATCAGCTTTATCATTTCAGATACTTAGAAAAACCTCTTCTGTTATCTTTACCAAGACAAAATATGAATTTCATGAGAAATTTAGCATGCTTACAAAATAATTAAATATAAAAGGGAAACTTCAGTATAAAATGTTTAAGATTCTAAGCCCAAGTTATGGAGCCTTTTTTAATGGAGTAGAAATGCCTAAGTATTTTCTAATACACTGGATGCCTGATTTTATAATAATTTTTAAAAACTATGGATAAAGGTCACATTAGCCACCTTTTTACTTGTTTCGTTGTATACTGATAGAATTATTGAAAACAGAATTTTAACAATGATATGTATTCTGATTTTTAAAGATATTAAAACAGTTAAATTTAACTACTGATATTTTGTTTCTGCTTTATCTAATTTCTTTTGCCTGTGTAGTTTCCATATATTAGTTGACATTGCAAAAACCATTGTAGCTTATATAAAGGGTTTTTTAGACACGGTATATGACTTGAGAAAAGAAGGAAGTTTTACTGTGTATCTGTGATTTGAGAATTGAGGTAGGATAGTTTATTTTGCTGCACTTGCTTTCTCCCATTCATTGTAAAGTGGTTGTGAATGGTCTCTGTGAATATCACATCAATTAATTTATCAGTAAAATCTTAGATGAAAATGGTAGCTTTTTACAGAATGGCAATTAAATTCTCAATAAAAATATTAAGAACCAACTCTTATTTCTGCAAAAAGTATTCCTGTTTCTCAGTTGTTACTTTAATCAAACTGGCAGTTCAAAGTATCTAAAGGATAAAATATTTTATAAATAATTTAGGTGTATAAAGAGAAACATTCACTGTTGAAATTTAAATGAAAAATTCTTTAATTGATTTATATAGTGGTGGTTTAAAAATAGAATCATTTTTCTTCTGTTGATGCCTCAATGAAAAATTGACATTATGTCTTTATAAAATTGAACAAATGAGTCATGTAATTTTCAGTTACATAATCAATAACTTAGACAAATACTACTTCTTTGATGATTTATGTGTGTTTATTTTTTATATTTACTTAAATAGGACACATCAAATTTCAGAGACTATTTAAAATCAAGTAGGTACAATAGTTTTTCAGTCTATGGTCTCTAAATTTGAAGTAAAAAACTCCTTCTTAAATAAGCATATATTATGAAAATATTATTTCTAATATTTAAATTATAAATTGGGATAATTGTCTTATAATTCTAGTAATTAAAACTTCGTTCAAAGAGTTGTCTTTTGTCAAAGTCATTCATACTGCAAAGATGATGCTTATTAGTTAAAGTCCCATTTTATTTCTTTGAGTTTGTAATTTTTCATATTATCATTAGACTATAATATAGCATTATTTTCATCTCTATATAAGGTTCTATTTGGAGCTTGCTAACTCTAACATGTCTGAATATGAGAGACTGTGTGTGTGTGTGTGTGTGTGTGTGTGTGTTTAAAGTTCAATCCACTCAGAGAAGGCAGGGAAGAAACATGACAGGAGACCACTTACTCACGGTACAGAATCTAGTAAGGAGGCAATTTTCTTTTTGGCCTGTGGTGACATTTTGACTATGTTCCCTACACCAGAGACAGTGTACTGAATGCCTCTATTTCACCCTGTTTAGCAGAGTGCAACAGTTTTCTATAACTTACTTTTGGTGGGAGGAGAAGTTATAGCTGAAATTTGAGAAGGGTGTGAAAAGTGGTAAGAGGCACAAGGAAGAGAGGGGTAGGAACTTCCTTCAAATGTGATTTTAATAACTAGTCAAGTGTGTCCAACTGTTGAAAATCACCAAATGACAATCTGTCTACCTGACAGTGATCACAATGAATTACAAGACTTTTGAATTAGCTATACAGATTAGAATAAAGCAGGAACAGATAAAATATCTTTTGTTGGTAAAACTTTTGACTTGCCAGCTAAGAAAATAAAAAAAAAAAAAAACAAAACTATTGTGCTTTCATGAAAATTGTTTCAATTAATAAATTTGTAAAGCATTTTATAAACCCTTCCTGAAAGAGGCATTATCTCAAAAGTTTTTTTTAACATCTGCAGAAGAATGTATTTGTAAATCATTTTGGTATGTATCGTTATATAGTTTTTAATATATAAGATGGCTATATCTTAATTTATAGTCTTGTCACCTTAGTGATTTGAAACTTCCAAACTAGTCATGGTTTTTGTGGCACTAATATCATATGATTGGGGTGAAAATTGAAACAGTCCCAGTGAAGTTTGTAAGTAGTTTGTGAAATCAACTATATAAAAGGCCAATGAAGTGCAGAAGTATAGCATATTTTAAGATAAGAAAATTGAGTCTATGCTAATATTGGCTTATTCATACTGCTGTAAGTTTTGTAAGGATCATTTCCTTATGATTGGTGCTGCAAAAAGTTAAATCTTAACATAAGATTATATAATTGTAGTTTTGGAAAAATATACTGTTTTAGTAAGCAGGAAGGTTTTATAAGCTTAATTTTCTATAACATGTTTTTTTATCAGAACATATAACATCTTTTAAGTATAAATTTAGGGGCTTTTACAAGGACATAATTGGAACACCCACAATACAGAATTGGGTGGAAAGGACAGATATATTCTAGCTTCAAAAATTTGCATTGCACATGCTTGTCAGTTGTTATTGTTTATCCTTCTCTGTTTTCTCATAGTTAGGTTATTCCATCAGATATAAGATAAATATCAAAAGTTTTCTTAATTATAACTGCAAAAATGTTTCCTTGCTAGAAATAAATTAGACAGGCAAACATATGTTTTTCAAGCTTGAAAAAAATCCTAAGTAGCTCAATAGAATGTATTTTTAAACTCTGAAATTTAACTTGTAGTTTCCTGGTACTGGTTCTTAATAAAATTTGTTTGTTTGAAAAAAAAAACAAAACAAACACATTTACAGGTTAAAGAGGTGCTTCCATATATTATAGTAAGACATTGGTTTATTTTGTTTTGTGATGTGTGGGTCCTCCTGAGAGAAAAGTAGTAAATAAAATCTGAGGTGCTCAAGTAGATATTTTATGTTTCTGATAATTTGGATGTGTAAATAGTAGAATGTTAGATCAGATTTATTCCTTTTTAATTAACTGTTTAATTTTATTTTATTATCTGGACAAATTTAAAATGCTCATTAAAGGGCAATTTTAAAGGAAAAAACTCCTAGAAAATGTAACATGAATTGTAAACTTTAATTTCCAAAAGGTTATTGTCTCAAAACATGTATTGTAAATATTAATATGGTTTGAAAGTATATTTGTGGTTTAATAATTAATTTCAATAATTTTTGAGGCTCTGGAAGATCCAAATTACCTTTTAATTTAAGATATATGATTTTTATGTTACAATTATGTCTTTTTGTTCTTAGAGATAATATGTTTATTTACACACATAATGAAGACAATTTCAAATGATAATTTCAAATTTGGAAAAATTAAACCATAATCTTTCCTAAAGGAATATTTTAGTTGATGTGCAACTTTATTAAATTACTTAGTCTAAGATTTTAGCAGCTTTTTATGAATTGAAATAGATTCTAAAATTAAATTATGCTACTTTTCATTTCAAAATAGGAAGGATATGGAGTAATAGTACTGAATCCCAATGAAAACTATATTGAAGTAGAAAAGCCGAAGATGCATGTACAGTCATCTTCTGATAGTTCAGATGAACCAGCAGAAAAACGGGAAAGAAAAGATAAAGTCTCTAAAGAAACAAAGAAGCGACGTGATTTCTATGAGAAGTATCGTAACCCCCAAAGAGAAAAAGAAATGATGCAATTGTATATAAGAGTAAGTGAGAGAATTACTTTCCTTCATTATTTCCTTTATTTTATTTTTATCTTATTTTATATGAGTTATTTTGTTATTTGTCTTCTCCATGGTTATCTACTTACATGAAATATTTTCTGTTTTTTATTTAATATTACAGAACACATTCTTAGTGTGACATTTTACAGAAGTTCCAAATGATGTTTATTTTGTGTGATAAGCTTCTTCTGCTATTTCGTTTGTGTGACAACGTTCTTTTGCAACATTTTCTAAAATAATATTTTGTGGTTTATATAGAAGCAAGAAAACTTTCCAATTCAGCTCCCAAACATGCTGTTTCTTTAAAGTATTATGCCATTATGTTTTCCATGTAGGCTAATCATTCTAAAACATATTATTGGCTAAATTAATAATGCATTGCACAAAACAATCTTCATCATTGGTGGTAAATTTTACTAGATATTGCTTTGTTTTCCTATGAGCAACTATCTATCCATAGTGTCCCAGCCTAACTTCTGAAGGCAGATAAGGAGAAAAGAGTAATTAATATATTAATAAATATTTAAACTAGAATAGTTCCGGGAACTCTTGTCCTTTACTCTTGTCTTCCCAGTGAGCCCTTGCACTTTGTAATGGTAGCAGCATGAGATTGTGATAGTAGTGCTGCCAAGGGATATCTAATATAGGGGGCACAAACAATTGTATTTGCACTTTGGCATATTCTTCGTGATGTACATACTGTGCTTTATATGGATGAGACAAATTTGTGTAACTTTCAAGGCCCTTATTATGGATGCTAGAAGTTTAACACTAAAGAATATCAAAATAATACTAGGTGAAGTAAAATAGTGAATTGGTGTTTTCTTCAAAAGTAAGGAATTCAAAATATTTAAAGATAGCCAAATTTTCATTTTGCAAATTATTTTATAGGACAGTAGCAATATTTCAGAATACTCAATTTAAGTTACTTTTTCATTTATTTTAAAAGATCATAAGTAAAATATTTCATAATATTTTTAAGAGGAAATACATTGCCATCTAAATTACATTTTCTTTATCCTACCTCTAATTCATTGCACAATCACTGTTCTTTTTGGAATTGTGTTTCAAGCAGTCAGGCATCTGATTATAGGTCATCATTCTACTGAATGATTTGGGAAAGTAGTATATAAATTTTCATGATTCCCCAAAATGTGTCCTTACCAAGAATACCTAAAATGCTTTATGTGATAAACAAGGGTTAATCAGACTACAGTATTTAAACTTTTAAAAATCACATCACTATTTAATGATTTGAAAAACAAAAACAAGTACTAGGAATCCTTAAGTAGCCTGTTTGTTCTAAAGTAACTGTATTGACCCTTTTCCTTGCTTATGACTGCATCAGGGTCATTATGTTACCTTTTCCTCCATCAGTTATCCTAAGGTTTCTACTCTGTCATTCAGTCCATCTTATGGTAAAGTTAGTTAAATTTTTTGAAAAATTGCCTCTGATACCCACATTCTAGAGATGAATTTCATAAGATTTTTGAAGCATACAAACCAAATAGGGTATTGGCTTATCTATGTAAAAATGCAAAGAAAAAATGATTTAGTATATTAAGGCTTTTACTTTTTCTTAAATAATTTCTTGCCTATTATATGTACAGATTGATTAGGAATGTATCTCAGATATCTGCCTGTAGATTTTTTCCATTCTATTTTCTTTTTATCATGTCACCGTGACTTTGGTTATTTTCTTTTGTTCTCTTGTATATGAATTTTCTTGATCCTGTTTTTTCACATCTGGTTCATTTATCTCTGTATCTGTTTTTTTCATAATACCAAAGGAAAAGTCTTTTTATGTTGCATCAGTAAGACCTGCTCTCTTAACCAGGCACTGTGGTACAACCCTGTTATCCCAGAGACTCTGGAGGCTGAGGCAAGAAGATTGCAAGTTCAAAGCCAGACTTAGCAACTTAGTGAGGCCCTCAGCAACTTACTAAGACCCTGTCTCAAAATAAAAAATAAAAAGGGCTGTGGATATGGCTTAGTGGTTAAGCACCACTAGGTTCAATTCCCAGTACCAAAAACAAAGATAGAAACAAACAAACAACCGTCTCCTTCCTTTTGCCTTTTTTACTTTAATTCTTTTTTTTCTCTTCTACACTTCCATCATTTTTATTTCTTTTCTTTATATCTTTATGCTTCTTTCTTTCTTATGAGTGTATTTTGCTCATCAGTTCAGATTCACACTGGAAGCACTAAAGGATAAAAATAAACTCATGTAGATAACACAACTTTGTATATGATAGTCTTAGCTAATGAAATGTATTTCTTAATGTAAACATCTTGGCTGTTAAAATCTCCTGGGATTGTTCAGAATAGCATAGGAATGATGAAACTCTTCAAACATACTTCTAGATAGTAAGGCTTGGTTCTATAGAGGAAAAGAGAAGAATGCTTCATTTTGTATGAAGTGCATTAATTCTAAGGAGATTTTGATCCATTCCAAAAATAGACTTCTTCCCTCTACATATTTTTATGTATCCAATGTTCACATTTTTTAAGACTGAGAGTATAGTATATGATAGAGAGAAATTAAGTTTTATTTATATACTTCTTTTAATCATTTACATTTTGAAACTGTCATCTGTTCTTTACAATAGCTTAATAGGTAAGTAGATCAGATCTACTTTATCCTTATTTTATAATTAAGGAAATTGATACAGGGATGTCTGTCCAGGATTACATAGCTAGTAAACGGTAGAACTAAGTATTAAAACTAGGATTCTAAGTACTGAAGATATTTGTACCCTTTCCTCTTTACTACATTGTTCTATCAGTTGGAAACAAATATATATCTGAAATATGAAAATTAAACCATATATGAGAAAAGTATGATATGATCTAGTAACATCTGATTATTATATATACTTTTTTGGGGAGATACCAGGGGTTGAACTCAGGGGCACTCAACCACTGAGCCACACCCCCAGCCCTATTTTGTATTTTATTTAGAGACAAGGTCTCACTGAGTTGCTTAGTGCCTCATTTTTGTTGAGACTGGCTTTGAATAGACTTTTGACCAGCTATCATTTAATAGATGTAAGATATATTCTCTCCCAGTAGGATCACTAATATTGAGTCAGATTTATAGGTGAGAAGACTATATGTCAAAAACTGTTAGTAATTTTCCCAAGGTCACATAGTTCCATGTGGGCAGGTACTAGTCTGTTTTGCTCTGTACTTTATCCTCTGAACCTAGAATAGAATCTTCACGAACACGTAAAGAATGGAGCTTTCACAGTAAATTTAAATAAGGAGGTAGAGACAGGTTTTAAAACTCAAACCACTACTCCTTTTTTTGTTATACATTCTCTGTTATTTAAGAATGCTACCTGAATTTCTATGAGAAAATATTCAAACAGAAGCAAGCAAACAAAAATCGCTACATTATTGTTCTCCAACCCAATCATTAGGCCAACATTACCTGCCAAAAATTACCATAGTCAGTTTCATGAATTAATGTAATCAATATGCTGATATTTGATACCTTGACTAGTCTATGCATTTTCATCTGTATATATAAAAGTAGAAATCTTGTTCTCCTTTTTAGCTTTACCATCACTACTTAAATCATGGATGAAAATGGAATGTTTCATTCTTACCCAGTGCTTTTTCTCTTTTATGCATTCGCTGTCCTCTGCTCGTGCTTTGTGATTTATGATATCTGTAACTTTTTTCCCTGTTCTTTCCCCTAATCCAATTTCTTCCATGTTGTAGTGCCCTGCTAAAATACCACTTTTTCCTCTCACTATAGCCAATGAACTAATCCTTTCTTAGACTCATGGAATTGTAATTAGTTATCTTATGAAGGGTTTATCATGAGCCATCTTGAGTTATCTTATATTTTTGTTTTGTAATTTTTTTAATATTACCAATTTACCTTTTCTTGTGTAAGTTTTATTTTTTAAAGCCTATAAAGATGCTTTTTGAAGTTTACAAATATCTAACATGCCAAGACATACACAGTTGGAGATATCCATAATTCCATTACCTAGTAGCTAGCTTCATTTTGAGCTTCTTGAAATTTTTTATTTAAAGTTTTTTATTGGTGCATATTATGCCAAATAGTGGGTTATAATGTGGCATATCATACATACGTATAACCTAATTTTATCAGTTTTGCTGCCTAGTACTTCCTCTTGTTCTTCTCTCTCCTCCCATGATCTCATATCTTATGATCCTACCTACCATCTTCTATTTTAAAGATCTCCCCTTTTATTGTCATGAAATAGCTTTTTGTCTTTTTCCCCCCTCTAGCTTCAACATATAACACTTGTCATTCTGTGTCTGTATTGTTTAATTTAACATGATGTTCTCCAGTTCCCTCCATTTTCCTGCAAATGACATCATTTTATTCTTCTTTATTGCAATAAATGTAATACATCACATAAATTTGTGAAGGATACAAATCAAGTGATCATACCTATATATGCAGAAAAGGCTTTTGTTAAAAATCAACACCCATTCATGATAAAAACTCTGAAGAAACTAGAGATAAAAAGAACTTGCCTCAGCATCATAAATGACAAACCCTCTAAAGACAACACTATACTGAATGGGAAAAACTTAGAGCATTTCTTCTGAAATCAGGAGCAAGACAAGGATGTCTTGCTTTCACTATTTCTTCAATACAATACTTGAGGTTTTAACAGAGCAATTAGACAAGAGAAAAAAATAAAAGGAATGCAAATAGGAAGAAGCCAAATTATTAATTTTTATAGATGTTAATATCCTGAACTTAGAAGGATTTCAAGGATCCACTACAAGACTTCTAGATCTGATAAACAAATGCAGGAAGGTGGCAAAATACAAAATCAACATATAGAAATCAATAGCTTTTCTATATACCAATAAGGAAAAACACTGAGAAAAGAAATTAGGAAAACAATTTCATTCACAATAGTCTCAGAAAAAGGAAAAAAAAAACACTGAAAAAAGAAATAAAAGAAGCCATTTGAAGGTAGACCTCCTAA